ATCTAAGGTATTGCACCAGTTGCTATTAGCTATAAATCAGCATCATGTGCTTCTAGTAGGGGATAGCAAGACGGTAGCAAGGCAATACGGTTAGAAAATATAATCTCAGATTTTTTTCCTACCAACTCAGCTTAATTAATTTTTTTTTTTTACTAACAAGTTTCATAATAGAAATGAAAAATGAAATATATTGCTTGCTAAAACTAGCTTTGATTTCAATCATTCCCTCCAGGATCTTACCGTATATTATAGGGCTACGAAATTCAAGCGATGATTCATGCTTGTAAATTAATCTCGTTTCTCAACAAGCAATAAAAATATAACACACTAAATGTTTGCAGTGAGTGGTTTCACACAGGGAGTTCATTTATCAGTTATAGGTACACAGCTAAGAGCGAAACAGGATAAACTGATGTTACTCTGACCTAGGCATGCTGAAGGACTGGATTGGTTAAAAAAATACAGAGTTTCCAAAAATTAAATATCTTCATAAGCAAAAATATTAATTAATCAATATGATTTATTGATTTGGCATCCCTGGCTGCCTGTATTACTCATTTTTGGGTTTCCTCAGCAGTACATTGGTAAATGACATGGCTATTACATTTACCAAGCTCATATGTGTACAATAGATCAAAATATGGTAAAAATAAGGTTAAACTAAATAAAACTGTGTGTGATTGCTCTTTGGCTTAAGGACCAAGATCTCTGACACAAAGAAATATAATTTTCGAACTAAATTTGCACTATAAAAGTGAAAGTAAAAAACAAAGGCAGTCGGAATTTTTAACAGTGCAAAATATATATCTTAAATCTGTTTGAATGCATTAATTTTTTTGTTCAAACTAATGGATTTATTTGATATGATTACAGATTTAGCCAAGGTAATTTAAATTCAGTTTCTGATGGCACTAGTTTGCACCCATACGTCTGCTCCTTTGTGTTAGAATTGGTTCTCAATGCGCATAAATGCGGAAATAGCTAGGGCTGAGTTCTCAGTATTATGTTTTTCTCTGTCAGTACAAATTGAAGATTAATGGTGATGAAGTTGCTTTTCTCCATCTATTGCTTTAGAAGAAAACAGTTAAAGCACAACATGAGCACATAAAAAACATGAATTTCTACCAAAGTTTATTATATTCATGTAGCATAGAGTGTCATGTTGCGTAAGATTAAAAACAATTTAAATAGGGCAACTAAACTTTGCAAACTAAATGAATTTAAAAAGTTCAAGTCAAAAGGATTTTTTAAATAGTACGTTTTTACAAAAAAAACTTCTATGGTTCTCTATTGGTCAAACTTTTATTAAGTTATGTTACTATTCAGACGTAAAAGTCAAAAACTCTAAAGATAGTAAAACTGTAGTAATTTTGCTTCTTATGAGTAAAACAGCAATCAAATAAAAATAAAAAAATACTTACTCCTAAATAATATATGCCTTAACAACATGCATGTATGCACATATTGTCTGCATTCAAACATTAACATAATTACCTTGGATCGTGATCAATAAACCAACACATTCACTCTTTCTGTCCCCTGACTCCAATCTCCTTCTACCCTCCTTAGCAATCCCCAGTATAGCCAGCTACTTCGTGCTCAGGGAGCAAAAGCAAAATCAAAGTGCTGTGTGAAATATGGCTCGGATACGTTATTAGGTGAAGCCTTTGTTTTTCATAGCACGCAGAGAGAACGGAGGATTTAAACTTTTATATTGGAGAGCATACAGATTAGCCAAATGGTAAACAGCCGGCGCTTCCTCGCACCGCTTTTTAACTTGGTGGTGCTGTAGATTCTAAAGGTCGACTTGGCTTGTGTAAAGAGAAAGGGATGAAGATTTTGTCACATCTTCCTCACACTTCCAGAAAACCAACAATTAGTTTCCTGTTTTGGTAGGGGGCTTTTATTTTAAATGGGTTAAAAAAGGGGACAACATAATACCTTTTTTCTCCAAATCCTCTTTCAACGCTACGCCTGATTGGTCAGGTGCTGATGAAAAGGAATTGCTCATGTGTGCTAAAGTGGATAAAAGGGGCTCTCGCTGACATCCTTTTCAGGTTTTAGTATATAATTACATTATTTGTATATATGTGGGAAAGCAAAATGAAAACTGCAGAGCCAGAATGCAGTTGCACTCAGACATGCAAAGAGCCCGCAGTGTATACAACATATGCACGCATGCATCTGTGAAGGGTATGGTGAGCGCATTGCCACGTTGTCCTGTCATCTTTTATTCAGCAGGCCACTGAGCGTCTATTTTCAGCTCTGCACCACTCTGTAGAATGAGCTGCTTTCTAGCAAAGAGAATGGGTTAATTTGGGCAAAACATTCCCCCTCTTTCCCACAGATACACACATCTGCATCTGTGCAAGCTGCATATTCATAGACGCGTCTTGTGCCAAAGCTGTGGTGCCGTTTGACATCTAACAGCGGGGCGACAAAGTAATTTAAACATTGCTCCACCATATTGCTCCACACTCTGGATTCCTTACTGAACCAATTTTACTGTAAATAAACAGCCAGTGTTAAATGTCATTTTGAAGCTGACAGCCTTGAAGAGATCGAAGAGGAAGGGTGACTTTGCTGCTCACCACTCTTTGAAGAGCAGGGAAGGGTGTGTGAAAAGAGTCAGTGGAAAAGGGCCCTTATGGAGTCCTTTTTGAGTCACTGGTGGAAGTCTGTAAATTAGAACCTTTCTCCGAGTCTCTGTCATAATTACACTGATACGCCTATTTAATATTCAATGAGACATTTTTTTTTATCCGTGATGTGCATGCGAGTGGACAAAAAGGGAAACATTGCTGCAGGACGTGCCAACAAAGATATGCAAACATGTGCTCATGAGAGCGCTCAGAGGGCTACGTTCAAGTACGAATCCATTCTTATTGGCACGTATGCTTGAGGCACACTGTTGCGTGGCTCATGCTGTTGCACAGAAGCAGCAGTGGATGAGTTTGACCTCTGGAAGTGGGTGAAGTCATTCCAGTTGACCTTGGTGGGAAGAAAAGCTAGACCCTTGTTAGTCTTAGATAGCTCTCCCACTGACTGAATCTAACTACAACAGATCTGGCTACAGTGATACTTTAGACACATAAAAGAAACTGAAAAGAAATAATTATACAAAAAAAAAACTGTATAGGTTTTTCAAAGCAAGTGATTTTAATGAAACTGATGAGAGCACAACATTATATTTAATTGCCACCTGTATTGTAGCATACTGTATCTACTGCAATTAAACAGTAACAAGAAAATGAAATCCAGCAGAGGTAGAAAAATCCAAGCTGTTAAAATAGGACTAAATAAAAAAAACTTTAAGCCCAAATCTTTTAAAAGCAACTTTTGCAGAAATTTCTGCACTCAGTTTGAACTCTACACTCTACACAGTTTGAACCATCAGTCTGAGAAACTTAAAATATTTGATGCCATTTGCTCATATGAATTTTTAACTGAAGCTTAGCTTGCAGAGGGAAAAAAAGATTAAAACAAACTCTTTATATAGGAGACAAGTAAAGATGCTGTAAACTATAAGATATGTTAAGGCACAGTGAGGGTGGTCATCAATAACTGGAGACAATATGAAACAAAAAGAAGCTGAACATTTGTCTAAATCTGACAAGACAAAACTAATCAGAGTGGCTGTCACTAACATCAAAGACGATCGAGATGCAGTTTTATGTGCATCAATAGACTCATGGGCTCTTCACATTTATGAACAAAGGAGAAGGGTTACAAGATGGGCTTTTTCTAAATGTCTTTCTCCAGAAAAGAAAGAGAAACGAGCCTGGATGAAATGTGGAAACCTGTGGGTCACAATTTAAAATAAACATTAACCCAAAAACAACACTGAACAGCACCAGTTTCTGACCCACATTTCAAGCCATTAACATAGATTGAACAATGTTACATTCAAATGTTGATCCCACTATGACTCAAAATAATAATTACATCAGACTTAGAGGACTGAGAATCAAAGTCCTCAGAAAAGACCAGGAAAATCAACAACAAATTTAAGATCTTTTTTCGTGGTAGATGAACCATTTTCGGAGCTGTGGTAATTAATTAATTAAATATTATAGCACATTATAGCCATTTTTTAAATCACAGCTTAATTAACTGATACAATGTCATTGTTTGAACAATCCTTTGACACATTAATATTAAGTCATGCTCAAATATAAAATCTGTCTTTTTAGGGTCACATCCAAGGCATAAAATTAAATACATTTAAGGTGATGTCTTAAAATGACATTTAGAGACATAATAATTAGTAAAGATCAAAATGAACCTATGGTGAAAGTCCTGCTTAAAATTTTTTTTGTTGCCTGTTCATTTAGTTAAGCAAATAATAAAATAAAACAAAAAAGGAAAATATACACATATACAAATGTCATAAACTGGGATACCTTGAATACAGGGTCCATCTGTTCCCGTTTATGACAACAAACTTAAAAAACAAACATAGCACAACTACTCAAAAAGAGCACAAAAAAAATAAAAAAATGTAAAGGGTTCTACTCCACTGATCTCCAAAATTACAACAAAAATTTGAAAAAAATCACAAGCCTCAAGAATATAGCTTATTACCATATAATTACAACGTATGGTATAAATCCTGCCTTCTCTACAATGTATTAACTTCTATTTCCAACAATCTGCTATCAGCTTACCCCTGTCCCACCCTCAAAGGTGGTTATAAACTTTGAAAACAGTTATTGAAAAAGCCTAACGTAGAGTTCTGGTAATATACCAGAGGGTATTATATTAAAAATCTATGTAAAGGCAGTGAGCCTCATTAATCATCCTGAAGTATAATTAAAAATGAAAAGGGATAAGCTTGATTACAGTTATGAGATATTGGCAGAGTTACAGCATTGGACGGTGGTTTCATTTACACTGTTCTGCCTAATGAAGTAAAAAAAAAGAAAACTCTAAGTTAACTTGGACAAATATTAATGATAGAAAGAGTTTGGTTTGTTTACAACCTGCGTTCTTATTTTCAGGTTCCCACAGCGACTGGAAAACCCAAGAAAGCAAATATCTGGAGGTCAACCCATCCAAGGATAGCAGGGCAAGCCTGAACACAGCAAAAAGGTTAGACCTTTGTTTTTCTTCCTCTTTTCCAGTGGTATTCAAGGTGTGTATCTCCGACCTTTATAGGTATCAAACCGTAAAACCCAGTGGATGTCACATGCGCATGTACGTCCAATACGCTGCTGCTTGTGTTTTAAACCCATATGCAGGTTATTTGTAAATCTCCCAGTAGCTAAGTCAGGTCATCAGTATGTTGGCATGTTGATGTCTAGAACGGGCATAGACATGAGACGAAACATTTCTCACCATTTTACTCATTAATCCCCTTAGCAGTAACAAACCTGCAGCTGATGGCTGATATATTGTTATTGTGCATTGCGTGGCAGAGCTCCATTTCTCTCAATCACACAGTTCTTGTTTTATCATTCTAGCTTAGTTACTTCTCGGAATGTCCCCAATCATTTTACATAAGTCATACTTCACATATGCATTACACAAATAAAAAGTGAGACCCATGCAGACCAGGATCCTGATCTACAAATTGCATTTTTGTGCAGATTAAGAGACTAGCAATGCATTTACCTGAAGACTAACCCCAGATATCAATAGTGGATAGTGGAAATTGCCCAATAAATGTTGCACTGTACTAATTGGGGAGCCATTCCATTAAAACTTCTCTGCTATTTAATACTTTAGCAGACAGTTGGTATTGAGTGCTGCATCATTTAGACTGACTTTTAATAGATTATTACCGCTAGAATGGTTTGAACATTAGCTCTCCCAACTACATTTAGCCTTTATAAAAGACGTTAAGAGAAAAGGTAAGTTGTATGTTTTAAGACATCCTTAACTACAAATTCTTAAACAGTATTATGCATTTCAGTGATATAGCCTTCACTGCGACATTTCCCTCATCCTATGTTGGTCACGCACATTTCATATATGAGACTTCTTGCAGGTGAAAACCACTTTCTTTGGATTTAAACATTAGATGATAAATCTACAATTGCTGTCACTGCATAGACCACATGCTAAAAAAGCCTTTTCATGTAAACTTTAAGGAGAAATGACCATGCTCTGCCTCACATTACTACTCACCAATCAGAGAAAGTGGCTGTAATGCTTACTGGGCTGGCGTGGTCAACATATGGGCAACTCGTGAAGGGGGCGGGCAATGAGAGCTCTTGGTTGACCATCATAACCATGTGTTTCAGAGGAAAGTGAGAAGCTGCTGCTCAGAGAGGAAGATTGTTCAAGCATATATAAATCAAGCAAAACATCACTTTAAGCATGGTTTTCATTAAAGAATAGGATTATAAGACTGTTAAAAGCAGAAAAAAAGGCCCTTTTAACAAAAAAGTGTTGTTTCCTTTAAAAATAACCATAAGACTTTAGTTAAAATGGAGTTGAAAATGTAATTAGACAAAACAAACTCCATAGTCAGTGATCTATTGTCTGTGCACGCTTTGAAAATGTCTGAAGGCTTCCTCTTACAGGTCTGTACCGATACAAGTGTAAATAAAACCCCTCTAGTGGAATCAGGGAAAGCACAGATCAATGTAACATTCCTGAAGGAATGCACAACAAAAGATTACCATTGTGGTTACTTGAATGGGCTTTAGGTTGTATTAGTAGAAGGAGCTTTCTTCTATTTTATATACTGTGTATAAGGTGAAAAGCAATATAAACATTGCTTGTTCTAAAGGCCGAAATGTCTTGAACCAAACAAGGAAAAGTATAATGATTGTGCGACTGTTTTAAACGCTCACAACCTTGGGAAGGGAAAACAAGCAGTTCATTCTGCTACTTCCACCATATATCATGCAGGCCACAGCCATATTGAAGTTTCAAGTTGAGGTTAATGGAACTTTTTTTACTTTACAGGTTAACATTCATAGATAGCATTGCTATTGAGCTTTCTGACTAGCTATAGAATTTATTAGATTTCTATGTGCAAATCAATCCAGGCCCACTAACTCTCTGACAACATTGCATAGCATCATAGCAGTGGGGATTTCTCATCTAATACGAGGGAGGCTAAACGTCCCCTGTTCATTTCGAAAAAAATATTGGTAAAAAAATGCATTGTCAAACTTCATAAATGTATTAATTAAACAACATTAAATATGTGTCAAAATGCCCATATTTTCATGTGTATGTTGTAAATAAATAAGCTGCTTGATCCCACGTGTGGATGCGATCTTCACTCCTTTTCTGGAATAGCAGGACGCTGCCTGTCAGCCTCTATGAGAAACATCCCTGTTTATGTTTGAAACTCAGACTATTGAGGTAAGGAGCGAGAAGTTAGAGTCCTGATTGGATAATACACCAAAATACATCACTTCCAGTGAGGCTAAAACTCTTTTGGAGGTCTATGGAGCAGGGGCGGATCATGAAGCTAGCTGCTCGATGCTGATTGGCCAACATATTTAACGATGGTTGACTACAGTGGCCAGACAGCGAGGAGGAAGGAAAAGTGATCATTCATTTAGAACAGTCATCTTGTGCTGAACTCTTGTCAAGGTTTGTGGACTGCATTATGTCATAGCCCTTCAGAACAGTTGTTTTCACCCATTGTAGTGATGTGTTTTATGTGTTTCAACAGTTACTAATGCATTACGTTTGGAATTAATCAGCACCATTGAGACTCAGACTGTTTCTATTGTCATTTTGGATAGACAGAAGTGTATATAAAATGAAATGTTGTTTTGTACAGCTTCCAGAAAATTCCCATCCCTTAAAGTGCAGCAGCGATCAAATGTAATGGGCTCTCCTCATCCCCCCGCAGGAAGTACAAGCATTTTTGTGCCTCTTTGACCAGTGAGGTGGTGTTTACAGTCCAGGTGAGGTTGTCTGTTGAGCCACCCCTGTTTCAGAGAGCAGCTCCAATGCATCATAGAGGTGATAATAGAGCAGTAGCTATGCAAAATTTCCCCACTTTCCTTGACAGGTTCTTGGCTGGTCCCATATAATTTTTTTAAACATCAATATTTGTACTAAAATACAAACTGTCATGATTTGTGGACATTAAGATCTAAAGAAAACCGCTATCTCCTGGTCAGACCCTGTAATTCAGTGAAAGGGTGGGGTCAGAGTAAAAAATATGCACGCTCAGGATAAGGAACAGATCAGTCAGGTGGATGGAAGTTGGAGGGGATTCTGCTGGGTGTTGCAGGGAGTTGGGCTGTCATTCAGCTGGCATTTATTTGGGAAAGGCCATTTTGAATGGCTGCTTCTATAAACCATTTTACTGCTTTTGTCAAAATAGGTAAAAAAGAGAAACATAGAAAGTAAATCATTAAAAGAAGATGACCTGCGCAGTAAGTATAATCATATAGGCCTGTTTTTATTTAGTTTGCCCCTTATTGTTTGATAAAAGTCAGTCTGGTTCTATGGTTTAAAAAAATACACTTTTTTTATCATGATCTGTTTGAAAAACAGAATCCTACCTGCAGAGGGCCAAATGGATTTGCTAAATCTTATTTTTCTCATCAGCCACTATTCACTCCTTCCCCACTGGCACTCAATAGTCCCAAACTGAATTGACAGCTGCTTATTGCATGCCTCTTTAAGGCCTGAAGCGTCTGAAGCAAAGGTGTTTTGCTTCAGGGAGAAAGAAAACAGTAAGATATTGCAAATGTCTGGTTCTCAGTCCAATAAGCATCTGTCTTCATTGATCTTGTTTTTTTCTATAATTGCTTTCTTTTCTCTTTCAAAATAATATCTATAAATGTAAGCTTAACAATATTTGTTTTGTTGAAAAATCTTAATGAAAGGGATTTTTAATATAAGCTTATTGGCATCTCTGTTGAAGCGGTTTTAAAAGACCTTCCTTTTCTTGCAGCAGCATGAACTTATATTCAAAATTATAGATAATAACAAGAATAAATCAGTAAAATCATCCTTAGCAAACTAGTTAGCAACCCGGCTGTAAACACTTGGAACATCCCCATATGCTGAGAAGGCAGAACTTATATCTGACTACCTCAGATTTTGTATCTGGTGAAACTTTTCTGCAAGTTTTTGATAATTTTCTATCTTAAAGACCCAATATAGAGTTTGCAAATCTGATTAAATGTCTTTAATGTCCTAATAAAAGAACTCTAACAAGGATCAAAAGCCTTTAAAATGTATAAAACAGCCCTGGAAACAGTGGAGCTCCCTACTTGTCTGAAACAGCTTAAATTGCACAAAGCAGGTAATGGCTGATCTTCTTCCCAACAGCTGTTGGACTTTATAACCATCACTGCCCTCATCAAACTTTATGTGTTTTATGTATGTAATAATTTTACCCAGTCTTTTTTGTTCTCGTAAATAGTCGGTGCTCACATATTCCTTATTTCATCCTTCTCAGTTGCACATATCTTTGTTGTTTTTTTTTGTTTTTTTTCCTCGATTAATCTTTTCTTAACATCTAATAGCAGTAAATTGATTTTCTTTTATGTTGCACAATTTGGACTTACTGCATAATCTCATATCCTTGTTTCTTCTTTTTGTATTTTTTTTAACCTCATGTTTCTAGACTGTTTCTTTTCTGTTCAACTCACTGTTGGGACATGTTAATTTTCCCAGTAAGAAACATGAACTTTAGCTACTTTAATTTTTTTCATAGCATCACAAATCACCCAAACGCTTCAGTTCCATATATTTTATAGGAATAATTTTGATACAAATTAATTTGTATAGAACAGAATGAAAAAATGGTTGTTGTTTTTAACCAATTTTTACAAAACAAGTTAGATTTTACAATGCAATAATTTTAACTGTTTATTTGAACTCCTCACATTCTTAACTTTGCATGCTGCATGTTCCTCTGAGCCATATAGGCTTTGTTTTGGTTTGAAACAAGGAGCAGAGTAATAGTTGCAACCATTTTGAGCATAAACTTTAGCTTCATTTAAACATCTTTACTTTCCTTTCCCATTCAGGAGGTCATATTAGATTAGGTCAAGTGTATAACTAGATGGAGGAAACATGTTCAATTTGCGTTTCAGAAGCCTTTATTGAATAATCGATCGTTGATCATTAATGTGACACTAACTAAAGGCCGAAGACTCCACTGTGCATTTATCAAGATGGCTACCATGGCCAC